TGGGGCCTGAACTCTGGGCCTGGCCACTGTCCCTCAGCTCTTCAGCTCAAGGCTAGCACTCTACCACTTGAGCCACAGCGCCACTTCTGGCTTTTTTTTTCCTGGTTATGTGGTGCTGAGGAATCAAACTCAGGGCCTCAAGCATGCAAGGTGAGCGCTCCACCACTGAGCCACCTTCCCAGCCCAGTACAATGAATCTTGATCACTGACACCTCTTTCTATTCTAATACATCTCTTTAACCCCACCCATTCCCCCAAGCTATCTGAGGTTTCAAAGATATTTTAGATATCCTAGACTGTAGGATAGACTGTATCCTACTATGGAATATTCATGAACACTCAGTTTTGTGCAAAAAATCTATTTGTGACAATAAACATTTTTAATTGGGAAAGAATGTGGTAATACTGAATTATTTTAAAGTAATAATCATTTACAATGATCATCCTCCACCACTGTTTCCATTTTTGACAATCTAATTTATACTTGTCAGTGGTGCCCATAATCTTTTTAATTTTTTTGTTATTATAATGGTTAGAGAGATGATGTTCAGAGAGGTTACAGTTGCATAAGTAATGAGTACATATTTTTTTTAGGATAATGTCACTCCTTCCCTCTCTCCCAGTTTTTCCCTCCCATCCCACCCACAACCTACATAGTTTATTTTCAACATAGTGCCTAGTATGACTGCTGCATTTGTTCACCCTTTCTCCTCTGTAATCATCTCTGCTAATTTTTTTGCACACCAATACAAGAGCAATACGACAATATAGTCACTATAATGATAACAACCTAAATTTGATGTTTGTTCTTTAATCATTCTGTAATAAGTAAGCAATTTTTCTAAAACTGGACATTTTGGTTGGCTGATTATCTGCGCTTATTTCTTCCTATTTAAAATATTGCCCAAAGCATCTTTTGTTGTTTTCTCTTTTTATCTCTGCTGAGTTAAGTGTATGACACAAATCCCTCAAACTTCAGTTTCGAGATTCAAATTCTCCTAACTACTATCAAAAGTGGTGTGACTTTTTCTTTTTTTGGGGGGGGGATGGGGGGGGCTCCGGTCATGGGGCTTGAACTCTGGGCCTGGGTGCTGTCCCTCAGCTCTTCAGCTGGTCCCTGAGCCTCTCAGTGTTCAAAGCTAGCACTCTACCACTTGAGACACAGCACAACTTCTGGGTATGCAGTACTGAAGATTTGAACTCAGGGTTTCATGCAGCCTGGGCAAGCACTTTACCACTGAGCCACATTCCCAGTCCTCTTTTACCTCTTTTATTATTTTTTTTCCCAATGTTGTCTTCTTGTATTCAAAATTTGAGGCTTTTTTTTTTTTGATTGGACATGGACCTGGGCACTGTCCCTCAGCTCTTCAGCTCAAGGCTAGCGCTCTACCACTTGAGCCACAGCATCACGTCCTACTTTTTCTGCTTATGTGGTGCTAAGGAATCAAACCCAGGGCCTCGTGCATGCAAGGCAAGCACTCTTCACAAAGACACCTTCCCAGCCCCTGAAACCTGATTTTTTAAAAATGTTTTTAGTTATCTCTAGGCTTCTCTCCTCAGACTAGAACCACAGGATACACAGTTTTGCTGTTTCTGGGATTTTTCTTTTTCCACTCAAGGCTAATGCTATACTTTGAGTTTTGTTTTTTTTTTTTTTTGGTCCGGTCGTGGGGCCTGAACTCTGGGCCTGGCCACTGTCCCTCAGCTCTTCAGCTCAAGGCTAGCGCTCTACCACTTGAGCCACAGCGTCACTTCCGGCTTTTTTTCTTTTTGCTTATGTGGTGCTGAGGAATTGAACCCAGGGCCTCAGGCATGCAAGGAAAACGCTCTACCACTGAGCCACCTTCCCAGTCCTAATGCTGTACTTTGAGCCACAGCATCACTTCTGGTTTTCTTAGTATTAATTGGAGATAGAAAAGTCAGTTTATCTCTTCCAGTTATGAAAGTGACAGCAACAAGGCAAATGTGTAAGTCACCATTGCCTTCAAGTTCTTTCTGAGAAAGTATGAACTTGAAAAGTCTAAGACATGTGGGGGATGAGGCTTGATGATTTTGGCCACTATGCTGCCAGTCCTGGGGCTAGAACTGGGCACTGTCCCTGGGGCTTTTGTGCTCAACGTTAGGGCTCTAACACTTTGAGAAACAGCCCCTCTTCTGGCTTTAATGGAAATAAGAGTCTCAAAGAGTTTTCTGCCCAGGCTGGCTTTGAACTGAAATCCTCAGATCTCACCACTTGAGTAGCTAGGATTATAGGCTTGAGCCACCAGCACCCAACTGTAAAAAATCATTTTGTTTTAAGATAAATGTTTTCCAGATAAACACTTTCCTGGAGTCTGTGTACCCTAACCTCCAGGTGATTCAGAGCTCATTTTAGCTGCAGCCCTCCACCAACTCACTGAGAACAGACTTTTTTCTTCTTGTTGGTTGTGGGGCTTGAAATCTGGGCCTGGGTGCTGCCCCTCAGCTCTTCAGCTCAAGGGTGGCACTCTACCACTTGAGCCACCGTGCCAGGTGGGTTTTTTGTTTGTTTGTTTGTTTTTATAAAACTTCGGTCATGCCAGGCAGTGGTGGCTCCTGCATGTAATCCAAGCTACTAAAGAGACTGAGATCTGAGGACCACCTAAGCAGGAAAGTCACTGAGACTCATATCTCTCCAATTAGCCATAAAGAAAGACAGAAGTGGAGGTGTTACTCAAGTGGTAAAATACCAATCTGAGGAGGGGAGAGGGTCTAAGTGGTAAAGCCAAAGTTCCCTGAGTTCAGGACTCAACAGCAGTCCAAAAAGAAAAAAAAAAAAGGAAAAGAAACAAGAACATTTTTTTACAGTATATACTCTGTGTGTGTTTTGTGTGTGTGTGTGTGTGTGTGGTGTGTGTGTTCTATTTTTGTGAGATCTTCAGCTCAAGTGCTCTACCACTTGAGCCACAGTGCCACTTACTGTTTTCAGGTGGATAATTGGAGATAAGAAGCTCTGGAAGGATGGTTGGTGAAAAACAAAGGAGGAGGTAACAATCCTTGATAGGAAATGTACTTATTACCCTATTCATGTAACTGTAACCCCTCCGTACAGTATTTTTACAATAAAAAATATATATGGGGGGGGAGGAGAAAGGGTCTCAGGACTAAGCTGGGCACTAGTGGGTCACACCTGTAATCCTAGCTACTCAGGAGGCTGAGATCTAAGATCATGGTTCAAAGCCAGCCTAGGCAGGAAAGTCCATGAAACTCTTATCTCCAATTAACCAGCAGAAAATGAAGTGGCTTGTGACTCAAGTGATAGAGCTCTGGCCTTGAGCTGAAGAGCTCAGGGACAGCACCAGGCCCAGAGTTCAAGCCCCATAACCGATTAAAAAAAAAAAAAAAGAGTCTCACTAACTTTCCTGCCCAGGCTGGCTTTGAACCATGATCCTTAGATCTCAGTTTCCTGAGTAGCTAGTATGACAGGTATGAGCAACCAGCATGTGGCTCAGTGTACTTTTTTTCTTTGGTCATGGGGCTTGAACTCAGGGCCTGGCCACTGTCCCCTGCTCTTTTTGCTCAAGGCTAGCTCTACCACTTTGAACCACAGCACTACTTCAGTTTTCAGGTGGTTAATTGGAGATAAGAACCTCAAGGTTTTTCCTGCCCCGGCTGGCTTTGAACTGCAATATTCAGATCTCAGCCTCCTAAGCAGCTAGGATTACATAAGATTACAAGTGTGAGCCACCAGTGATTGGCCCAATGCATTTTATTTCTTATTATTCTTCCTTTAGTAAAAGGAAGCTTTTTCTAAAACCTATTGGGACAGATGGCACAGGAAGATGATGCTATAATATCCTTGTGCCCTGGAGTCCTTAAATTCTTACCTGTATACTATATCAGAAGATTTTTGGGTCTTTTAGGAAGATTTGATGGGTCAGTACAGGTTTTAGTTTTTTCTAATTTTTTTTTTCCTAAAGGGAGGGAGGGTTTGCAAGTTGCTCAATAATCTCAGGAGGCTGGGATCTGAGGATCGTTTGAAGTTATCTAGAGAAAGAACAGTAGACAAGAGGACTGAAAATTTATGCAAGTTATATACCAATGCTTTCACATTTTATATAAAGAATTCGATCATCCAAGAATTTTGGTATCCGTTGGGTCCTGAATTACCAAAAGAGCACTTTCATTTTACTTATTTTATGTTCCTTTTACTTTACTTTGCTCTTTTATTTCATTTAGTGCCTTATTTAAACTTTGATGCGGATAGGACAGTGCAGAAAACGGTGTTGGAATAATTGGCTTTCCATCTGGCATAGAACAAAGACCCTAGTTCACACACATACACAGACAAATTCTGGTCATACTAAAGATTTACATTTTTAAAAAAGGATATGTAAATGAATGTGGAAAATGACATATAAGTGTGCGTAGGGATGGGAAGCGGAACCTAAGGGAAAGCAAAGGGAGTGACATTGTCCAAAAAAAAAGAAATGTATTCATTATCTGATACGAAATGTATAACACCTAAATAATAATAATAATAAAAATAATATATAATATGATATATAAACAGAATTGAGGACTTGGGAAACGAACCTGAATCTAGCAAGCCCCGGCTGGCGGCTTCCTGAGTCCAGCGATTGCGTCACAGGAAACCGAGCCAATGAGAATCGAGTATGGGTGGCACGCTCAGCCAATGGGACTGGGGCGGGAGATTTGAACGTGCCTCGGCTAGCTGGAGAAGAAGTTCGCGGGCGATCGAGAGGGGTGCTGTGCTTCGGACCCCCGGTTGTTGAGCTGGCCTCCTTCTAGGGTCCTTCCGCCAGGAGAGGACAGGTGATCGGACAGGTCGGGGTCCGTTGGGCGGGTCCGCGCGCTCGGAGCCGGGCTGCGAGAGGTCCCGGGCGGAGTGAGGGTCCTGGGAATGGGTGGAACCGGTAGTAGGCGGAGGCGAAGAGACCTCCGCGCGGATGGGCTCCGACCCGGCCTCCCTGGCTAGCGCTTCCGGCTGCATCGGCTCGGCGTCCACTGCCTTTCTGCCTCTCATCGCTCGGCCTTCCTTCTCCGTGCAGCTCTCCTCCTCCCTTTTTATGTAAGGATGGCCCAGAAGGAGAACGCCTACCCCTGGCCCTACGGCCGGCAGACGGTAAGGCCCTTGCCTTGTTACCCACCCCTCCCTACGCCCCATTTAAAGGCTAGCTCCTGCTCTGAGACCCAGGGCCCTGCAGGGGGCGACCTTCTGCACTTTTGTCCCCATTGTGCTCCTGTGGGCGGGCGCCAGGAATTTGCTTGCAGAGTCATGTATTATCAGCTGCTGCTCGCTTGAATCTGACCTTCCAGTGACTCCCTTTGCAGAACTGAGACGACTTGCCATATGCTTGCCATGTCTAGGACTGAGCAGACCGGTCTAGTCTTCAGACTGAGTCCACCTTTTACCCAGAAAACATAAACTAGAAGAGGATACATAAAGCTACTGTTTAAAAGGTTTAGGACCCCCTCTCTCTCTTTCTCTGTCTTTCCCTCTCTCACGCGTTAATGATTCTCTCTTTTTTGGTCCATCCTGGGGCTTTCCCTGTCCATCAGCTCTTCAGCTCAAGGCCAGCGCTCTACCACTTGAGCCACAGTGCCACATCTGGTTTTCTAGTGGTTTATTGGACATAAGAGTCTCATGGACTTCCTGCCCGGGCTGGCTTTGAACCTTTGAACCGAGATCCTCAGATCTCAGCCTCCTGAGTAGCTAGGATTACAGGCGTGAGCCACCTGCGGCCTGGCTGTTGTTTCTTTCTTTATGTATTTTTTTGTCGGTTGTGGGGCCTGAACTCTGGGCCTGGGCACTGTCTCTCAGCTATTCAGCTCAAGGCTAGTGCTCTACCGCTTGAGCCACAGCGCCACTTCTGGTTTTCTAGTGGTTTATTGGAGATAAGAGTCTCATGGACTTTCCTGCCTGGGCTGGTTTTGAACCAAGATCCTGAGATCTAAGCCTCCTGAGTAGCTAGGATTGCAGGTGTGAGCCACCGGCGACCGGCTTTCTTTTCTTTATGTATGGTTTATTCACATGTGTATCTGTGGGAGGACAGGGGGAAGGCACAGAACTCAAGGGAAAAAGGGTGTAAAAGTGCAACAGTAGAGCTCACTGGATACTGATGAAAATGAACAGGGCTGGGAGAGAATGAGGGAAGGGAAGAAACTGTACAAAGGAAATGTACTAATTACCTGACTCATTGTAATCCCTCTGCACATCACTTTTATAATAGGGGGGGGGGCGGGGACGGACCTAGGACAGCCGGGCACCAGTGGCTCATGCCTGTAATCCTAGCTACTCAGGAAGTTGAAGCCTAAGGATCAAGGTTTGAAAGCAGGCCAGACAGGAAAATCTGTGAGACTTATCACCAGTTAGCCATCAAAAAGCCAGAAATAGAGTTGTGGCTCAAGTGATAGAGTGCCAGCCTTGAGCAGCACCCAGTCACTAAGTCCAAACACCAGTATAAAAAATGTCTAGGGGCTGGGAATGTGGCTTAGTGGTAGAGTGCTTGCTTAGCAAGCATGAAGTCCTGGGTTCAATTCCTCAGTACCAAATAAACAGAAAAAGTCAGAAGTGGCACTGTAGCTCAAGTGGTAGAGTGCTAGCTTTGAGCAAAAGGCTCTCAGGGACAGTGCCCAGGCCCTAAGTTCAAACCCCAGGACTGGCAAAAAAGTCTACATTGATCATTTAGAATTTATTATTTGTAAAAAAAATTATATATATGTACATATATATAATTATGTATAGTTATATAATTATATACATGCATATATATGTATATATATAATTTGTGGTACTGGGGATCAAAGCCAGGGCCTCTGTGACTTACTGTATCACTAAGTTTGCATCCCCACTTCTGGGATTTATTTTAACAACTGGTGTGAAATAAGGTTTCAAGTAGATTTATTTTTCCTGTTATCCAAACATGTTTCATTGAAGTGTCAACCCTCTGATTTGAAATGTATATTATCAATTTCTGAACTGGTTTTGGTTCAGCTTGTTATTTGTCAATCTATTAATATCACAGGGAACAGGTGTTTAAGGACAATTGGATCTTCTTGCTAAAGGAAAAAAAAAAAAAATGGGCTGCCGAGTACCTGTGGCTCACTCCTGTAATCCTAGCTACTCAGGAGATCTGAGACTCGAAGTTCAAAGCCAGAAGTGGAGCTGCTGCTCAAGTGAGAGAATGCTAGATTGCCTAATCAAGAAAGCTAAGTGACAGGACCCAGTTCCTAAGGCACAAATAAAAATAAAGGAGCTGGGCACCTGTGGCTCACGCCTATAATCCTAGCTACTCAGGAAGCTGAGATGTGAGGATCACCGGTCAAAGCCAGTCCGGACAAGAAAGTCCATAAGACTTACCTCCAATTAACTACCAGAAAACTGGAAGTGGCACTGTGGCTCAAGTGGTAGAGCGCTCGCCTTAAACTGAAGAGCTGAGAGACAGCGCCCAGGCCCAGAGTTCAAGCCCCACAACCAACAAAAAATAAATAAATAAATAAAAATTTAAAAATAAAGGGAGGGGGGAGAAGGAAGGAAAGAAAGAAAGAAGCAAAGTAGCGCTGTCCAAGCTTCAGTCCCTGTTAGTGGGGCTCGGGCATCTTCAAGAGTCCATTTCTTGCCCTGTCTCCACCCTTCCTGGAACTCTGAGCACTGAGGTGTCAACAGTGGTGTCTCAATAAGAAACTATTGGCTCTTTCATTTTGTTCACGTTCAAAAGAAAGTGTGAAGAAGCTGGAAATGAAGAAGTGGACCAAGGCCATCAGTTCCTTGACATCCTCAGAGCCTGAGACTGTACAGGGTCAATACTGGTGTTGGGATAACTTTCAAGGCTTCATGGACCTTACCCATGCCTTAGTAGTCTGAGGTTTTGGGGTTTTTTGTTGTTGTTGTTGGTCCTGGGGCTTGAACTCTGGACCTGGGTGCTGTCCCTCTGCTCTTCAGCTCAAGGTTAGCATTCTGCCACTTGAGCCATAGCCCCCATTTCTGGCTTTTGGTGTTTAATTGGAGATAAGAGTCTCTTGGACTTTCCTGTCCTGATGGCTTCAAGCTGTGATCCTCAGATCTCAGCCTCCCTAGTAGCTAGGATTACAGGTGTGAGCCACTGGGGCTTCTTCCAGTGCTGGGGCTTGAACTCAGGGTTATTGAGCTTGTTGGGCTCTCTTGCTCTGGCTGGTGTTTTACTACTTGAGTCACACCTCCAGTATGGCTTTTTGCTGCTTAGTTGGAGATGGAATCTCACAAACTTCTGGCTTGACTGGCTTCAAATATTGATTCTCCAGTTCTCAGCCTCTTGAGTAGCTAGGATTACAAATTCAAGATGCTTTTTTGTTTTCTGTTTTTTTTTCTAATGATTTTGAACTGAAGGCCTGTGCTTTCTAGGTCAACACTACCCCTTCAGCCATGCCCTTAGCCCTTAGGTTATTTCTAAAACCATTTGATTATGGGCTAGGAATAGAATCTTGCGGCTGGGGAGTCAAATCGTGATTTCAGTGTTTTTCTTTAAAGTGGGGGTGGGAGGTGGTGGCTCTTTTAGCCAGTAACTTAAATGCTACTTACAGCACATTCCAGCCCCAGTAGCTGAAATGCTACTTGTAGAACATTCCAGCCTGGTCACCAAGACAAAGGCACCTTCATATCCATCCCATACTTCTTCTCAGTCTCAGTCAGGCCTGAATACCCTGCCTCAGAGAGTCCTCCGCAAGGATCCTACCATCCCATCTGCACTTGTCTTCATGAATCGCACCAACGGGCAGCCCCCAGGTAACTGGGCTGGGTTGGGCTGGGCTGCGCTGGGCGGATGAGGGGCCTAGCATCCGTGGGAACATGTGGGGATGAGAAAGTTGAAGGAAAGGCTGAATCTGTTTGCTCTTTCTATAGCTGCTCCTGGCCAGAAAGTGTTGGAAAACAGCAATGGGGTCCCCAACTTCATGTAAGTGCTGCATGCCTGGGGGATGGAGAGGAAGATGGGACAGAGAAGGAGCCAGGCAATAGGGGAAGTAAAATCTAAGGGCAGCAAGAGCAGGGATAAAGAGCCATGGGAGCTGGGTGCCAATGGCTCCAGCCTGTAAATCCTAGCTACTCAGGAGACTGAGATCTAAGGATCGAAGGTTAAAGCTAGCCCAGGCAAGAAAGTCCATGAGATGTTTCTATCCAATTAATCACTAAAAACCCAGAAGTGGAGGTGTGGCTCAAGTGCGAGAACCAGTCTTGAGCAGAAAAGTTCATGGACAGCATGCAAGTCCTGAGTTCAAAGCTCCAGTATTGGGAAAGAAGAAGAAGGAAAAAATGGGGATGAGGGAGCAGAAGGAACTGACTTGTGGGTTGTTGTCTTCCTCTCTTTGTAACCAGCCGGCCCCTCACGATCGATGACTTTGAAATTGGGCGTCCTCTGGGCAAAGGCAAATTTGGAAATGTGTACTTGGCTCGTGAGAAGAAAAGCCATTTCATCGTGGCGCTCAAGGTCCTCTTCAAGTCTCAGATTGAGAAGGAGGGTGTGGAGCACCAACTACGCAGGGAGATCGAGATCCAGGCCCATTTGCAGTATGCTGTTCACCCCTGCACCTAAGCCCCTCTGAGCCCTGGGCCCTAGCCCCTCTATGAACCCACCACCTCCACTCACTATCAGTATAGGCCAGCTGGCCCTTTCTCCCCCTTCTTCCTCCCAGTCCTCATCCATGTCCTGACCCCAGTTCGTGCATCCTTCTTGGCTCCCTAGAGCCAAGATCCAGTCTGAAGCTTCCTCTGTTCCTTCCCCCAGGCATCCCAACATCCTGCGGCTCTACAACTATTTCTATGACCGGAAGAGGATCTACTTGATTCTGGAGTACGCTCCCCGAGGAGAGCTGTATAAGGAACTACAGAAGAGCCACACGTTTGATGAACAGCGAACAGCCACGGTCGGGGCGGGTGGGCATCTGGGGAGACAAAGTCTGGGAACGTGAGGCTAGGGATGCTACTTGTAGTTGGAGGCCTGATTGCCTGACCTTGATCCTCCAGATCATGGAGGAGTTGTCGGATGCTCTGATGTACTGCCACGGGAAGAAGGTGATTCACAGAGACATAAAGCCAGAGAATCTGCTCTTAGGGCTGCAGGGAGAGCTGAAGATTGCTGACTTTGGCTGGTCTGTGCACGCTCCCTCCCTGAGGTATGGTGAGCCCCGTGCAAGGCTGGGACATTCGACCAAAAATCCCTCCAGCTTTGGTGACCTAGGGACACGGTTGAGACACTCACTTTAGTCACTCAGATTTTCCATTTGTATATTCTTGCTATACCATTATCAGAACACATTTCTTTTTTTGTTTTGGCCAGTCCTGGCACTTGAACTCAGGGCCTGAGCACTGTCCCTGAGCTTCTTTTACTCAAGGCTAGCATTCTACCACTTCCAGCTCTTTCTGTGTATGTGGTACCATGGCATCAAACCCAGGGCTTCGTGCATGCTAGGCAAGCACTCTACCACTAAGCCACATTCTCAGCCCAAAACACTTTTTTTTTTTTTTTGGTCGGTCGTGGGGCTTGAACTCTGGGCCTG